TAGTCCATGTGAGCAGCACTTTCTGATTAGGAACAAAATCATCAATGAGAAATAATTGTCTGTCTAACTTTTTATATGGACTTAAGCCTAATGTCTAGGAAGTGTAATCCCTTGAACTCTTAAAGAAATATACTGATGACTTTACTCTTTGGTTATACTTTCCTTTGGGTGTTTAAGACCATACAGTTGGCTCAAATATATCAATTTATTTTTATACTTAAGGTCATTTGAGAATCTGTTCCTCAGGGGTCACATGGGCTTGGGAGGAGCTCCTGGCTCCTTTCTTTTACCAGTTCCATCTATGTGATAAGTAAAAGGTTCTGCTCAACCATGTCTGGCTTCACTTGGAATCATGAATGAGATGTTTTTCTCTGACCCTCCTCTTTGTAGACTGGACACTGGTTCAAGTCCATCTCGTGGGGTCTCCATGGCCTCCCTGAACAAGAGGACAGGTAACTCATCATAGTTACAGGACATTTTGAGAGATGTTCCATAGTCCCCTGGAACTTAGTCGACCTTGGAGGGCAAGAGGCAAAAAATGTTCTTTAAGTCCCTCTGACCAGATTAATATAGGCCTCAAAGTATGGCTGTTAAAGATCCAATAAGGTTAGTTCCACCAGTCTGGTAGTTTCAATTATCATGTGCTATGTAGATAAGGCTTGGGTAAAAAAAACCAAATATTCTCAGATAAACCTTGACTAGATATATATTTTGTTCCTTAAACTAGTTGACTAAATATGACCATAGACATTTCAGATTTGTTTTTTTAGATTCTTTTTGTTTTTGTTTTGAGACAGGGTCTCCTAGTAGCTCTAGCTGGCCTGGAACTCAACCATATAGACCAGGCTGGGCTAGATCTCACAGAGATCCACCTGCCTCTGTTGGAATTAAAGGTGTGCACCACCGCACCTGTTTTTTTCTAGATTTTTAAAACATTTTGTATATGTGTGCATATCTGTGTGTGCTTTGGGGGACAGGATGAGTGCAAGTGTCCTTAGAGGCCAGAGGGATTAGATCCCCCTGGAGCTGTAGTTACAGGCTACGAGCTACCCTACATGGGTACTGGGAACTGAACTCAGGTCCTCTGCAAGAGCAATACTCGCTTTTAACCCCTAAGCCATCTCTGCAGCCTCTCTGTGTTATGTTTTGATGGCCACTCCTACTCTGAAAAGTAAATCACCTTGAAAATACAGCTTTTTATTCCATGTATTAAAGTAGGTTTATACTGCTCAGTACATTTGTTATTCCTCCTTGGTAATAAACTTTTAGAGATAAGGAACTATATATGTCATTTGGTACAGTGTGATTTGCAGCTAGGCATTTAGTAAAGATTTCTTCCTGTGATAAGATTTTTATAAAGTTTACTTATGTCTTAGTTTGTTCTTCATTGCTGTGACAAAATACTCTGACCAATACCAACTTGGGGAGGAAAGGGTTTATTCAGCTTACAACTCCCAGGTCGCAGTTCATCAGGGAGCCCAAGGTAGGAACTCAGGGCAGGAACCTGGAAGCAGGAGCTGGAGCACAGGCCATGGAGGAATGCTGCTCATTGGCTTGTTCCCTTGGCCCCTGCTCAGCCTGCTCTCTTATGCAACACAGGCCCACCTGCCCAGGGGTGGCACCACCCACAGCGGGCTGTGCCCTCCCATATCACTCATCAAGAAGATGCCCTTCAGACATGGCCACAGGCCAGTCCAATAGAGGCAATTCCCCGATTGAGGCTCCCTCAACCCAGGTGTGTCAAGTTGACACTAAAGCTATCCAGCACAACTTAGTTTTGCAATTTTGCCACCACTGTCTAGTCATTATCTGTCCTTTGCCCTTTAGGATGGCTGGATTGGTGTTCGATCAGTAATGCTTAAGAAAACACTAACAGCTACTGATTTCTACAATGGATATTTGCATCCGTGGTACCAGAAAAATTCTCACAATCACCCAAGCCAATGCAGATTTCAGACTCTCAGACTTCGAACAAAGGAGCAGCAGAAAAGCAAGTTGTTGCTATGCAACAGTGCATTACATAGTTAGGAGGAAGGTGGACAAGGACCTATTACACATTTTTAATTTATTAAAAGCTTTATTTACAAGCAACTACCTTGATTTTCAAAGATGACACTGTTGGAGAAAGAAGATGGTTATTGAAAAGATGGAAGTCTCACTCTCCATTTTTTTGTGTGTGTGCAACAGTAATTAAAAGCAGCTTTTTCTACTTGAATAACAAAAGTTTAAATAAAATTTGTATTTATAATATCCAACGCAAAGGAGATTGTGTCTTTCCAGATGAGCAAGGCAACAACTGGTATGTATCTATCCTAAAAGTTTGTTTTCAAAATGGTGCATCTAAGGGCTGGGGATATAGTTCAGTTGGTAGAATGCTTGCCTAGTGTGCACAAAGCCCTGGGTTGGATCCCCAGCAGCAGAGTAAATCTGGCATGGTAGCTCAAACCTGTAGTTCTAGCACTGAGGAAGTGGAGGAAGGAGGATCAGAAGCTCAAGATCATCCTCAGTCACATAGCAGGGTCAAGGCTAGCCTGGGCTGCATGATACCCTGTCTCAAACAAAAAGTTCATTTATTAAATTTTGAAAGTTCTGTGTCCCCCATTGGCTCTGTTATCATTTAGAAGTATTTCATTTGCATTTCTAAATCACATTAAATAGTAACGTTACATCTTTAAATTCCTCTGGAAACTACATCTCATCAGGTAGTAAACATAATATCTCTACCTTATTGATATGTACAATAAATTCACATCAAAATTTTCTTGAAGAAGGAAGATGCTAACCTTTATTTTTATTATTGGTTTATTTGCTATAAAGGCAGTTGATCATGTGGCCCACAAACCTCTTCTCTGTCTGCAAGAGTCAAGCACTCTGAAAGAGAAGCATATTTAGTGACAGCTGTTTTATTTGATAATCTTTTTTATTATCTTATTATCACTGTGTGGCTGTGGGTGTGCATACACTGTGGTGCTCATGTGGAGGTTCGATGACAACTTTTTTGAGTTGGGTCTCTCCTTCCATCTTTACATGGGTTCCAGGGATCACACTCAGGTTTCCAGGCTTGTTCAACAAACCCTTTTAACTTCTGAGCCATCTTGCTGGCCCTGAGCATTTTTACATACTGACTTTTACTGACTATTCTATCAGTTTAAAATCTTTCTTCATTCATTAATTCATCTATTTAGCAGTACTGATTGATAGGTGATCATATAATTGGTCATCTAAATTAGAACACTTTGATACACAATAATTACTGCAGCACAGCAGTCATATGCCAGGATACTGCCAGCAAACTGGGTTGTGTAGACACCCAGTACTTGAGTAGTTGCAGTGTCACTAGCCTCTCTGCTGGCCAGTAAAGCTTTAGAGGTTAGATAATGTTTGGCAACTTCAGTTTACTACAGAGGCAAGCATGGGAACAAATACAGTTAGAAATGCCACAGTGAAGGTACAGTGAAAACCAAGAGTCCCTTAGGAAAGCCTGTGGAGGGTCCAGAGGATGGAAGCCAAATCAGATGCCATAGTGAATTTGAGGTTCATTCTGCAAGTCATGAATCTGTATGCAGAGGCAGGAAAGCCTAACAGCACTATCTCACAGGGAGTCTGGTGCTGGGTTCTTCAGCAGGGTGATGGAAACATTGCTGTTTTGTTATTCTTGAAACCATAAGTGTGTTACACAATTTTGCTAGTTAAACGTGTGTGTGTGCGTGCACACACACACACACATCTCCCCACTGGAAAAACTAGCAACAGATCATAGAAGAGAATGGCATATTAAATACATGTGTGTGGGGAGCACATTGTTTTGAAAAACTTACAAGAATTGATTATGACGATGGAGATGAGACTGAAGAGCAGTAGGCCAGGTCATGGAGAGCTTTGACAAAACATGGAGCGTGTGGCCTTGACCTTGGCCTTGTATGTGATAAACTTAATTCCCCAGATTTGCATTGGGGGAAGTTAACCAGTAGTGATGTGGGAGATAAATTAAGGTTAAGACTGTTAGAGAGGAGCTGGAGAGATGGCTCAGCAGTTGAAAGCACTGACTACTCTTGCAGAGGACCCGGGTTTGATTCCCAGCACCCACATGGTGGCTTTGAACTGTCCTTAGCTCCAGTTCCAGGGGACTCCAAAGCCCTCTTCTGACCTCCGCGGCATTGCACAACATGGGTGCACTCATATACATGCAGGCAATACACTCATACACATAAAAAAATAAAAAGACTGTTAGAGATACCTTTTGGGAAGTTAGTCATGTGAAGGTCTGAGTCACACAGCAGTTGTTAAGGATGGGAAAATATTTTAAGTTTGGGTATGAAAGGAAGAAAACTCAAGTAGCATATTGTTGGAACTTACAGAATTTTTGCTCTGCCACTGATTAGCTCTATAGCCTGTTCTGGCTTCAAATTCACAACCTTTCTGTCTCTACCTGCTGAGTGATGGGATGTCCTGATGAGTTCTTTGCTGTCTATTAAGTCACATAACATCAAAACTGTATTTCCTCGTATGTGAAATGGAACTGGGTGGCGCACGCCTGTAGTCCCAGCCCTTGGGAGGCAGAGGCAAGCGGATCTCTGTGAGTTCAAGGCCAGCCTGGTCTACATAGTGAGTTCCAGGACAGCTGGGGCTACCGGGAGACCCTGCTTCAAAAAGACCAGAAAAAAAAAAAGACAGAAACATTCCCAAAGTAGTTTTAAGAATCAGGACTAGGAGATAGAGGCAGGCAGATACCTGAATTTGAGGCCAGTCAGTTCCAGGGAAGCCTGGGCTAGGCTACATAGTGAGACCTAGCTAAACTTTTTGTTTGTTTGTTTTTGGTCTTTTTGAGACAGGGTCTCCCTCTAGCCCCAGCTGGCCTGGAACTCACAGAGATCTGCTACCTCTGCCTCCCTAGTGCTGGGATTAAAGGTGTGCACCACCACACCTGGCGAGATTAAAAAAAAAAGTTTTTTAATTTAAAAAATTTTTAAAGGATCAGGCCTAGGGTTATAGCTCAGTGCTAAAACACTTGGGTTCTATTCCCAGTAGTACAAAATATTTTTAAGGGCTGGAGAGATGACTCAGTGGTTAAGAGCACTGACTGTCTTGCAGAAGATCCACGTACAAATCGCAGCATCCACATGGTGGCTAACAACTGTCCATAACTCCAGTTTCAGGGGATCCGATGCCCTCTTCTGACCTCTGTGGGCAATAAATAAATAATTTTAAACAATATTTTTAAGAATCAGTGAGTCAAGGCCTCACAGCACTTAGGAGGCACAGGCAGGCAGATCTCTGAATTCAAGGCCAGCCAGGACTGCACCATAAGACCTTGTCTCAAAAACAATAGAGCAGAAAGAAAAAAAAACCAAACAACAAAATCAGTGAGCTAGCCAGCAATAATGACACATACCTTCAATCCAAGACTAAGGAGATTGAGGCAGGGATGTTTGAGGCCAGTTGGGCTGCGGGTAAGAGCACATTCTGCTCTTGCACAGGATCTGAGTTTGTTGCCTGCCCCCACCTTGGTTGACTCAAAGTCACCTGTAATTCCAGCTCCAGGAAATCTGATACCATCTTCTGGCTTCCACAGTCACCTGCTCTCACACACACTCCAAACCTCCCTCCAAGACACACACATGAATATAGTTACAGTCAGTGCTCTTAACTGCTGAGCCATCTAATTCATTTTAGCCTCACTAATTCATTTTTTATGAGTTACCTGAATGTATGGAAGTGCATTTGTGTGGTGTAATGCCTTTGGATTCTAGAAAAGGGCATCATAGATCTCCTGGACTGTTGTTAGGCAGTCATGTGTGTGCTGGGAACCAAATTATAGCAGGGACTCCAATACTGCCCTCCAGGGAATGGGGAAACAGCACAGCTCCCTGCTGTGACCCAGGAAAGGCAGAGTTTCATTTGCAACACCTATTGAATTTCTGCACCTCCACTCCTCCTGTCAGGGTAACAGTTGAAGTAAGGATATCTCTAGAATGCTGGCAGGAATCATAGAGGAGATTCCCAGAGCCTTCACATTTTGTGAAATCAAGAATCTTGAAGTGGCCAGGCATGGTATAGCACATGCCTTTATTCCCAGCACACTGGGAGGCAGAGGCAGGAGGATCTCTGTGAGTTCAAGGCCAGCCTGGTCTACATAGCAAGTTCCAGGCCAGCTGGGTCTTCAGGGAGACCCTGTCTCAAAAAAAGACCAAAAAAAAAGCATCATGAAGTATGAAGTTAGGCTCTTTTTTGGTGGCTAAGAATGTGTGTTTTAACAACATGAGAGGAGCACGCGGATCTGAGTCACTGGTTGGCCCTGGGTTCAGAGTCCTCCCAGAGGCAGAATACACAGTCTACTCCGCGCTCTCATGCTCTCGTTGAAGGAATGGATGGCTTTGCAAGCACACTGCCCTCTTACGCAATGTGTTACCATTTTGGTTATCATTGCAGGGGGGTAAAGGGGGGCACAAAACTAAAACCATTTGCATTGGACTTAAAACTGAACTCAGGCTGGGGATGTAGCTCACTTGGTACAGTGCTTGTATAGCATGCATGAAGCCCTGAATTCCATCCCAAGCACTATGAGTAATCTCAGCACTCAGAAGGTAAAGATAGGAAGATCAGAAGTTCAAGGCCTTGGGGGCTGGAGAGATGGCTCAGCCATTAAGATCACTGGCTACTCTTGCAGAGGTTTGGTTCCCACCACCCACATAGTGGCCAATAATCATCCGTAATTCTAGTTCCAGGGGATATGACGCCCTCTTCTGGCCTCATTTCTCAGTTTAAAAACTAGGGTAGGTAGATATCTGGGCGTGGTGGTGCACTCAGAAGGCAGAGGTAGGTAGGCAGATCTCTGTGAAATTGAGGCCAGCCTGCTCTACATATCAAATTCCAGGGCAGTCAGGATTACATGGGTGAGACTGAGCTGGGCGTGGTGGTGCATGCCTTTAATCCCAGCAACCAGGAGGCAGAGGCAGGCAGATATCTATGAGTTCAAGGCCAGCCTGGTCTACATAGTGAGTTCCAGGACAGCTGGGGCTACAGGGACACCCTGTCTCAAAAAGACCAAAAATAAGTGGGCTAGAGAGATGGTTCAGCAGTTAAGAGCACTGGCTGTTCTTATAAAAGATCTGGGTTAGAATCCCAGCACCCATAAATCTAGTTCCAGGGGATCCAATGACCTCTTCTGTTTGCGGGCACTACATGATACAGGTGCATTTACATACATGCAGGAAATACACTCATACACATAAGAAATTAAAATAAATGTA